ATGTATGTACATTTTTAATAATGATGTGCATTGTTAACAGGTTTTTTTTTTTTTAACAATTCTGAGACATTACATTTCCCCTAATTTTCTTTGTTCATTATTACATGACTTGGAGATTTTCAATGTTGTGAAAGGCAACAAAAACTTAAAATTTTTGCCTTAATTCAATTAAATTTCTGTAGTATAACATAGTAAATCGATATACAATCGAAAGTATATAGTTTATATATTATAGTTTACATAATCGTCATCAATATTTCTATACATAATCGTCATCAATATTTCTATTTGCTGTTGTACAAATTTAGTTTAGTATTTGATTTTTAAAGTGGCATATTTTTAAGCGGGTAGTACTATAATAAACATTGTGACACAAATTAATAAATTAATACATTGAGTTTGTAAATGTCCATTCTGTCTTTAAAAAATCTTAAATCACAAGGACGAAAATTGATTCGTTAAAAGTAAAAGTTTTATTAAGCCTTACCAATAAATGTACCTGTGGCTCACTTTTTAATAGATGGCTGATGCATGCATCTCATATTCCTTCTTTTTCTTCGTTTTTTTCATGCGATTATTAAAATTGCTTTTGATTATGATTATTCTTTTTGATTATGAAGATTCTTTATGAACATTATTCTTTTTTTTTGTTTGATTATTCTATTGATGGATAATTCTCCATGTTTGAAGATTTTTCTTTTTTTCCACTGTGTATGCTGGTGATTTCTTGGCTTACTAGAATGAATATTGTTCGTGTAACTACTAATTAATTATTTGCCACTTTTTTGTATGTAAGAGAAGAACTCGTGGTTATTATGCATATAATTTTTATGGTGTACAGCAGTTTCACAAATTTTACTCATCATCATTTAGTCATCTGATCTCGAGATCTGTAACTAATGCATTTCATATATGTTATGCGCGTTTGAGTTTTTTAAAAAAAAAAAATCATTATGTTTTATTTCTTACATTAATTTCTTACATTTATTTCTTACACTTAATAGTATTATTTGTTGTTAAAATTTCCTTTGTGAATATTTATGTAATACAATCCGTTGTTTTTTGGTTTTGGTTTTGCCACCGAATAAATGTAAGGGCGACCAATTATTATTAGCCAAAATTGATATCCTTAACAAATATTTTTTTAGTTAACAGTAATACGCATTTACATACTTTTTGATTTATAATGATAATTCTACAAAACGAACAATGCTTATTCTACATTATGAATGCATTTGCATGAAAATGATTAAACTTGTGACGAAAACAACAACCATACAACCACAACAACAACAAATAAATAAATAATAATGACAATGAATAAAAAAAAAACAGGTTGTCCAAACTGAGACAAAGACTTAATAAAAGAAATGAATGGATTTATTTGTTACATCAATTTTTTTTATCTTCATTTCCTAAATAATTAAATTTTATAATTAAGAATAAATTTTAATCTTTGTAAACAAGTTAATAAATATAATATGAAATGCAAACATGATAAAATTAGTAACACCTATGACTCATTCTTTTTCATTATCTTCCTTGTGACATTAATTCTCATAGTGTTATTCTCTTAAATATTGTTGTTGATTTTTGTTAATTTTTGTACTTACCATCGAATACTTAATATAGCGATTTTTTAGTATGACTATTATGATTAAAGTTCGGAATATTTAATATTGTTTTAACTATAATAATAAATTTATATAATTCATATGATGTATCATTGAATGTAACTAAGGACTTTTTAATTAATATTAGCGGACCCGGACCATAATTCTATTCCGTGTGATCAATGCGTTTGATAAATGCATGCGTTGAAAATGGGTACAAAAATTGTACAAGAATGCTGTCTGTGTAATCTACATATATTTCATATACATATTATTTTTTTTTCCATATGTATTCAATATATGTATTATTATGCTTTTATGAAAAACATGGTACTTTTGTTTAATAAATTGTGGATTTATTGATTTTAAAAGTTTTATTTGTTAATTTACATAACAATTAAGAAACAATGGACACTTTATTAAAAATTCTTATTATGTTTTAATTGTTATTATGTAAAATATTTCTTATGCAAAAAATTCGAGAAATCCGAAAAGTCCTGAGATAGAATAATACATAAAGCTTTTTTTTAATAATATAATATATACAAATTAGGATCTCTTGTTTTCTGTAAATAAATAATTATAATTTAATAACTTTCGCCATAAATGAATTCTTGATAGTCAAAGCGCGCGCACATTATACATATTCTTTATATTCTTTGAATTTGTGTATAAGATTATAGAACAAAAAACATTACATAATTCATATAGTGCAAGAACCAATATACTATAATAAATTATTATGTTATCATTTCCTTGATACCTTTAAAGATGTCTTTTTGCCATCTTTTAATTTCTTGTCATCATTTCACGTACATATATGATTTTTTTCCATTTTAATAATGAAAATTTTTACCATTAAAGATTAATAGTTATGCAACGCGCGTACTTAATAGACATATCTTTCTTTTTTATGAACAAACGCGCTTTTTTTTATCTAAGTTTAGATGTTACACGGATATGGTGGCTTTATAGTGGCGCAACATAAAAAATGCGTCTCGGAATTAAAGGATCAATAAACAATTTTCTTATTTCTCTTCATTTGTCAATAATTTTCTTTGTAGATCTTATTGATCTCTATAATGGCTTTTTTATAAAAATTAATATGGATGAAAAATCACTGTGCAAGAATAAAGTTACGTGTTTTTTTTAATTGAATGGATCAATAATTGTTCCTTAAATTATAAATATGAACTTTTACACGTTCGCGCAAAAACAATGAAAATAATACCGAAAAACAAATTATAAAGAAATAGATTAATAAGAACAAATTAATAAAGAAATGGATTAATAAAGAAATAATAACGATAAATCAAATAAAGATTTATTTTCTTTAAACTTGTCTTCCGAATTCAGAAGACAAATTCATCTAATAATAATTCTTTCTTTTAATAATTAAATAAAAATAAATCAATTGAAAAAAAAAAACTAAAATGAAAAACAATAAATGATCGTAATAATCATAAAAACAGGATTATGTGCTGATTTGTCTTAATTGTTAATCAACGATGAATAAAATAATGAAAAATATACTGAACAAAGAGAGAATAAGAACGCGATAAATAAAGTAATAATTGTAATAATTGTAATAATATAACAACATGGAAACACGCTTTAATTCCAAATTGATGTATATTTTCGGAGAGCACGGATGTATTCTTTACTCAATAATTAAAGCTTTGTATAAGATAGTTGAATTGAATTCACCTAAATATGTCATTTCACCTTATTTTTCATCAATTGGCGACATAAAGTTTAATATTATTTTCCTTATCCTACATATACAATTACTAATGAAAAGAAATCATTTCTAGATTTATCTTTAAAGAAATGAAATCATTAAATCTTAATAATATTTTATAATACATGCAGGATTAAAACAAAAAGAAATAGGTATTTCCTTTTACTGATTTTAATATGATGGCGCGGTTAAAAGAACCATGGGTACTGAGTAATAAATTTGGATTAAAAAAAACAAATGTAATATCAATTTTCTTTTAAAAACTCTGAGTCAAATAATGATAGGCAATGCATTTCTTTGAGAATGTCTTGCTTTAGAAATATAGAGAATTGTGTAATGAATAAATCCGGAAGACAAGAATGAAAAAAATGAAAGAGCGAGATCACAATGCTTTTTACATTCGCGACTAACTTTCCTTATATAATGGCTTATATAGAGATGTTATAGAGCTTAATGTAGAAGCAAGACTCATTCAATGATCTCTAAGGAGAAAATTTATATACATGAAACAAAGGATTTGGTTTATGAAATGACAAGAGATATGCATACACGATACAATACGCGAACTATCTATTTTTCTATTTTTATTATGATGATCACATTTAACTTTTAAATGCATTCGAATTTAACAATTTAAGCGATATATGTTGTGAGTAAACTTTATTACAATTATGACAAAATGCGATAACAACAAATTGATGAAACAATCGTAAAAAAAAAAAATTGGCGAATTTCCTTTGACTATTCTCTCCAAGAAATTAAAAAAAAAAAAGGGAATTCCTAAATAAGGATTATTATCAGAATTATTTTTAATATAAGAGGTATTATATGAAGATCCCCCGTTTTTCAAATATCATGCACTCGTCATCCTAAAGCGGTTAAGGATTGCTTGGCGCATTTTTCTTGGCTACCATAATTTCTTAAAAAACTATTCGCTGCATTTTATTTTAACATAAATCAAAGAAAAATGACATGATGTCAAAATATTCTATTAATTATTCATAACTAATTTTATCAATAAGTTTATCTTCGATATATTTATTACTCATTAAGCAACATTGATAGACAGCAGCATTCGATTGACAGTATTGATTGACAACGTCGATGAACAGCCAGCATCGATATATTTGGAATGCCATGATAGATTCTTTATTTTTAACTCGGTATGGAATTCCAAATATAAAATTTCTTGGTTTTTCAATTTCCAATTCCGAGATGCATTTCTAAATTATCTTTTTATAGAAATCTTGAATACCTTTTTATAGAAATCTGTAATTATCTTTGATAGAAATCCGCTTTGATATTTTCCGGCATGAGATTATCAAGAGCAATTTTCTTAGCAATTTCATATGTTTTTCTCATTTGTTCCTAAATTATCTTTTTATAGAAATCTGTAATTATCTTTTGACATTCTTTTAATATTTTTCGACATGTGATGACTTCATTAATTGTATCAAGAGTAGCAATTTCAGATGCTTCTTCTCTTTCATTTATGACTTCATTAATTGTATCAAGAACAATTTTCTTAGCAATTTCGGATTTTTTCTTCTCTTTTATTTACGGAATTATAGTTGACTTAATTGTTTTTGTATTTGTCGAAAATATAATTGCCGAAAATATTTTCGACATTTTCGGCTTTTGAAAGTATATGCCGTAATGCCGTGATTTTTGCAACGGAATCATCAACTTAGCACGTGTACTAATATAGGAAAACCCTGGTCTGGGAAAATAAATTTTGATAATTTCTACAATTTCTTCAGTTGAATATTTCGTTTTGACATTTTTTTTTTTCGGGGATATTGTTAAAGCTCACTGGCGGTGATAGGCAAAATTACATAATTCCCTAACCCTAACTTTGCCCAAGTAAATTTAATTTTGCCAATCACTGGCGGTGATTTTCTCTATCAACTTTTGTTAGGTCCAAATATTAAAACTATAGTTATAAAGTCTCTTGGTATATTTCAATTTCTTTAATTTCTTTTAAATGAATTTCATTTGATTCATTAAATTCAAATGCATTTCCAATGAGAGAGTCTCAAATAAAACCTTTTGTTCTTTGTAGTCAAAGTGTATAGGACAAAACATAATTTTGCTAATTTTTGCCAGCGTTAGCATAACATATCACATGATATTTATCAAAATTATGAGTTTTTTGCGATCTTTTTTTAATGTTTATTAATTATAAAATAATTTAATTTTTTTTTTATTAAAGTTAGTTTACATTGATGATGTCGTCCAAAAATTTCATATGAAACAACTGAAATAAAAATTTTTATGTTATGTTTTCGATATTTCTCTATATTTATTATTATTGGTAATGACATTCCAAATTATAAAATGAATAAAATATTTACATGACGTTTATTGAAAGTGAAAAATAACCTTTCAAATTTTAGTAAAAAAAATATTTATATTCTCAATTTTCTATCTTTTTTTGAAAATTGAAGAACGAACCAATTCTTCCTCAGAAGGAAGTTCATCATCTTCAAAGAAATTATTATAATCATTATAATTATTATAATTATTATAATCAATTTTATTCGGCTTTTTATCATCTTTATTAGTTTCATCATTATTAATCAACCTTTTATCTTCATCATATATTATTTCATTAACATTCTTATCTTTCTCCTCCTCATCATCTGATATAACTATACAGTCATTTGAATAATTCGTTGTTTTTGTAGGAGATATTACGTCGATTTTGTTAATTAAATCAGATTTATCATCAAAAGTGGTTAATGAAATTGGAGAAATACTTCCACAAAGTGATCGAGGATAATCAAATGAGGATATTATGATTGGTGGTGAGCTAGTAGGAGAAGATGACTGAAATGACTTTCTTGGTGGTGAAATTTGTAACTGTTCTATTCCAGCCGGACTTAATTTATCCATAAAAGAATTAGGTCGTCTTTTTTTCCCAATAGGTTCATTAATCGGTGGAAATTCCTCTTCTTCAAGTGTGTGCTTTGATCCCTTCTCCATATCATCATCCAAATCATTATTTTTAATGTTTGATGAGTGTACTTTAAACGATTTATTTTCCATCCCTACTAATAAATTTTTATCTTCTCTCTCAGATTCATCCTGAAAGTTCATGAAACTTGAATCATATTCTATGTCCATCGCATATAAATCATCTGTATCTTCTATTATTTCTATGATTTCCGTATTCGAATCAAGTTCATTTAATTTATGTCCATTACTGACATAATCAGAATTTTCTTGGATCACTTCGCCAGTTTGTTTCAGACCGTCTTGGACGATTTTCCCTACTTGCTGAGCGGTTTGTTCAACTTCAAGAGTGATATTTTGTTTCACCTCATTAGCTTTTTCTTCATTTTCCATATTGTTTGTGCTCATAGGTAATACCATCTCACAATTTCTTGTAAACACTTCATCATTTATTGAATCAAATTCTTCAATGTTATCAATGTTGTCTGTAATAGTCAAGCGCGTAAATCCACTGGTGGAAATATCTGAATTGTCATTAAGGCTTATTCTTTGATTTTCTTCCGATATCGATGAATCTTCTGGAGTTTGTTTATCTTCAAGTGAATATTTTGTAACCGGTAAACTATGCAGTAGATGGATTTGAGGAAATAAGGGGGAAATAAGGAAGATGCAAGATTTCCTTTGATCAAGCAAATATTTAATTATTCCTACCCTAAACGATATTCTAATTGATTTCGGATATTATATATAGATCTGGATTCACCTTTAAATCCCCCAAGAATCGTTACCTTTTGAGATTCCAGACATAAAACTCCACGTAAAATTAAAGTATTTTTTACTGATATCTATAGATTATTTTTTTTTTTAAAAAAAAAAAAAAAAAAAGATAAAATTAATACATATTATAAAATTGTGGAAATAAAATATCGAAACAAACCTTTGTCCCAATGGGTGTAAGCAAATTTAATTGTAATACGGGTTTAAGTTCCATAGCATCAATAATCTGAGTCCCATCGGTTAAGTATAATCTGAGCATTTCTCTTGGAAATTGAATCGCTTCAATTTTTTTATCACGTATATCGTTATATTTATGACCCTGCTTAATGGAACCTGATAAGTGACTATTGATTATATCAAAAAGTGTTTGGTTTGGTATTCCCACTTCAAAAATCTCTACTACTTGAAGAGTTACAGGATAATGTTCGCCAATAATTATTTTGTGAGTATTATCAATGAAGGGTGGAAGGTGTGGTTTCATTGAATATTTTAAATCTGAATCTAAGAATTCGTTGTAAACTGCTTGATATAATTTTTGATTATTCGCGTTTTGATATTCTAATTTACTTTGAAGTTTATCTAAACATTGTTGTAACCACGCATCTTGGAGCTGAATACTATCGGCTACTTTAAACCGATTTTTCACGAATAAAGCTGACATTGGAATGAACAAAGCTTAAAAGTTTGTTTTGAGATAATCAATGTAGATCAGTCAAATAAATAAATAATATTATTAATGGATTTGGCTTGGGTCACTTTGACACCTTTTTTTTATTCTTAATATGACAGAATTAGTTGAAAACAATTCTTCAAAACGAGGAAGAAAATTTTTATTTTTTTTATCATTTATATTATCTCAAAAAGACTATTCCAATGTCAAAAAAATATTGACACCATTTATAAATAAATTTGGTCTTGAACTGCCAAGTAATGAAGAATTTAAATCTACTTGCAAGTTAGTTTTTATAAATATAAATATAAAAATATTATATGTATTTTGCACTTTATAAATAGAGTTTTTAATTTATTTATTTTTAGTTCTCAAACTCATAAACATGAGACAGCTTTTGGTGCTATAAGTTGCCGTCATGATGAATGTTTACCCAAAACTTCTCGAACGGGAATTACCAATTTTGTTAAGGTATACGCTATAATAAACCTCGTTGAAGTTATAACGCAACTTCCAACATTATCCAAGAATAAAAAAAGGTTCGTAATAATTTTCTTTAAAAAAAAAACATTAGAATTGATGTTATCTCATTATATTTCCCTAACAATTTTATTTTTGTTGAATTCTTGGATCATTAATTAATTATTAATTATTAGTTTCCTAAAGATTATAGATAGCCTGTTTAAAACATCGTCATTTCGTTTTGCACTTTCAATTTCATCTTTTGCTATAGTATACCAAACCTTATTACGATTCTTTACACGTGCATTTGATCCTTTACTTGGTCCCCGCTCCAGAATGAATATAATTGGTTCACCCTTGGTACCTCCATTTTTGGCTGGTCTGTTTGCAGGACCAACTTTACTCATTGATAATATTGAATCGAGACGTATAACTATTTCCACTTATGCGTTATGCAAAAGTTTGCAATTTATCTATAGTGCTTTAAGAGATAATCGAATTATCCCTAGAATGCCTTGGTGGTGGGGTGCTTGGTTATTATTTCCAATTAGTTCTTCCCAAACGATTTATTGTTATTTAATTCATCCCGATATTTTCCCAGTAAGTTTCATATATACATATATATTTATTTATTTATTTATTTATTATATTTAATTTTTTTTTCTTTCTTTCTTTTTTTTTAATCAAAAAATTAAAAATCTTTTGATATA